ATTTTATTTATTTATTTGACAGAGAGAGACACAGCGAGAGAGGGAACACAAGCAGGGGGAGTGGGAGAGGGAGAAGCAGGCTTCCTGCGGAGCAAGGAGCCCGATGCGGGGCTTGATCCCGGGACCCTGGGATCATGACCTGAGCCGAAGGCAGGCGCTCAACCAACTGAGCCACCCAGGCGCCCCTTTAATGCACTTCTCACAACTCTGTGAGGTAAAGGTAATTGCTTCATTTGACAGGCTCGGAGACGTGAGGAGCTCGCCCAGAATCCCACAGCTGCTCACCTGGGTTTCAGAAGTCCTGACCCCCAGACAGCAGTTCAGTTCTTTGATAGGACCTGGGCAGGTTTTACGTGTTGAAAAGTCTATACTGGGGGCGCCTGGGTGGCTCAGTCGGTTAAGCCTCTGCCTTCGGCTCAGGTCATGATCCCAGGGTGTTGGGATCGAGCCCTACGTCGGGCTCCCTGCTCAGTGGGGAGCCTGCTTCTCTCTCTCCTTTTGCTGCTCCCCTTGTTGTGCTCTCTTGCTCTCTCTGTCAAATAAATAAATAAAATTTTTTTTAAAAAAAGGAAAAGAAAAGAAAAAGAAAAGCCTGTATTGTACATTCTGGTCTTCAGTACTCCCGGACTGGACCCAATCTGTGTACCTCTGGGGTATCACCTGGCCCCACAGCCTCCTGGCCCTCCTAACACGGGGGAATACCACAGCCTTATGGTGAAGACCAGGCTCTGTCACGGGGCCCCCTCAAGCCCTGGCAGGACCGCGGGGAAGGGGTTGGTGCTCTGCCTCCTCTCACCCTTTCTGGACTCAGATGGCAACCCACACCACAGTACCTGGGATCTGCCTACAGGGGGCCAGGTAACTCTACTCAGAAATGCAGGGGAGTTGAACCTCGGGGCAAATTTTGACCAATGAAAGACAAGAGGACAGACCCGGTCCCTGGAGTGCAGTGGTCTCATTTGGCCTGTCAGGAGATGGCTGGGAGACATGACTGGTAGTGTTTCCTTCTGAAGATGCGGCCCACTCAAAAGCATACAACCCTGTGTTTCCTTCCCTCTTTACCTGCTTCCTTCCCATTTCCTCCTTATTTTTGTTACCTGAGGGTTGTACCCTTCAATAGAGGATCGGCAGGCAAGCACCACTTCATGCTCTGTGTCCCCAGGAACTGCAGACAGTTGGTACCACAAGTGGCCCCAGAAAGCAGATCTTCAGGATGGGATGGGGGAGCTGGGTTTCCCATCTGTCTGAAGGCAATAGGGGCCCCATTACTGACGGCAGACAGGGTCCTATGGGGCATATATGACATCACAATTTCTAAAGCTTCACCCGCAGCTACTTGGAATGAGATGCCGGTAGGAGGTGAGGCTTTGGGAGGTCACGTGGCTGTCGCACTTGATCAATGGGAGGGAAGTGATCCTCATAAGGATTGTGGGATTGGATGGCTTCTGATGGTACTGGAAACCTCCATCGTCTCTTCAGAGAGATGATGACAGGCTCGCGGAAGCCGTTTGCCGACTGAAGGCATGCTGGTGAATGCTTTAAGGTCACTCTTATCTTTTGACAGCCACAAAACAGACTGCACTGAAAATCAGGCTCAGGTACTGATTGTATGGTGGCCGAGCTGGAAAGGGAGACTAAGCTTGCAGCCACACAGGTGTCCTCTGTTCACGTCCGGGCTCTGATTAGGAAAGAGTTGGACCTTGTGATCTGGAGTAGAGACATTTGGGTGCCAAGCCCTGAAACTCTTGGACCCCCCAAATCTCCCTATATACGCTGGCTGGTAGAAGCACCTCTCTCCCCCTTTGTCAGAATGAAACAGCTCCTCCCGGCCTGGAGAGCAAACGATGACCTAATTGCTGCAGTTGCCTTGCAACACGGTGCTTGTTCTCACGACGGTAGCCGATAGGAAATAAGGTGAGATGCCAGAACTTCTTTGGCACAATGTTGAAAAAGGAATAGAAGGCCCAGAGAGAGCTGGGAATATTAGAATCATCAGACCCAAGAATCTACCACTTGGCTATGTCTCCTGGGATGGCCCCAAGGGCATTCCCTCCATTGAGCCAGAAAGAAAAGGCCTAGTGGGAGTGGGGAAAGCACCAGGATCTTTGAGAAGCTCAGTGGTGGCAATCCTCTGAAGGCTGGCTTCGATGATGGGACATGGTGGCGACATCGACTTGCTGCTATCAAGGGTCAGCTGGCCTAGTAGGTCACAAGAGGCAAAGGGGACCCAATTACCAAGTGGGAAGCAAAGCTGGAGCGGCAATTAGGGTGCCTTGAGCCATAGGTGTCTATGTCAATGGCTAGTAGGTTATGGTGTTGCTAGGGATGAGATCGATAGAGAGTTGACAAGGTTATGGCTCAATTTGTATGAATTTTCTTTAAAATAATCAAGAGCGTTAGAGCAAAAAGATGACATCAGCAATGGAAAATTATCTGAGTTTTTTCACAGCGCAGAGCCCATTGATTGAAAGGGAGGCTGGGTTCCTCTGAAGGGCATGCAAACGCCAGAGTCTGAAGATCAGGCATGACCCTGCAGTGATCTGACATGTGATAGGCATGGTACGCTTAGGACCAGGCTCTAACAGATCCAGA